AATGCATAAATTCATTCTTTTTTATTTTACATTTTAAATAGTGCACATGATGTAGTGTAATATAATGTGTAAAGTAAAACAAAAAATCCACTTTATAATAATCAACAGATAAAGTTTATTCTACATATAAAAATATACTCATTGTTTCATGACAATTGTATCTTAATTCAAATATAAGTCAAGTTTTCAATATAATAACAATAAATAAATAAAAGGACAAAGCCAATCATTTTTGAAATAATTATAATAAATGTCCTTATGTTAAAATAATTATTATAAAATATATTGGNTAACCCGCACTTGCGTTACACAGAGAGGTAAACCTCGAAAACCTCCCATAATTAGCCTGGAAGCAAGGGGACTCAAACCCATGATCGGTCCACCGCTGTAGTCAGTGGAAGCCGGTTCTGGAATTCATATCGACGAGCCATCGCTGAGGTTCGAACCCGGTTAACTTCATTGGGAGGCGAAGGCTTTATACCCTAAGCCACCACGGCTCATTTATTTTTGTTGCCAGTGAGCAAACAAGGATCACATGTCCTTAAACCTAGGAAAATCTGCGAAATTAATTTTCATTTTAACACTGTCAGGTGCGCATTAGCATGGAAGATCGAATCTCCTTTAGATTGCCTTCTTCCTTTAAATAAGGCAGACATTTCTTGTTTTATATAAATTCTCACCTCACGAAATAAAATTTGGTTTTCTTCCTATCAAATTAAATTTTCTCTAAGCACTAAAGCAGAAAAGGATGGTCATTTTAACTGTTTAAACACCGAATTAATAGCGTTTTAATAAACAGATTCATCTAAGTAAAAAAATTTATATTTCAAGAGTATTTGAAAAAAAAAAATTTCAATGCATAAATTCATTCTTTTTTATTTTACATTTTAAATAGTGCACATGATGTAGTGTAATATATTGTGTAAAGTAAAACAAAAAATCCACTTCATAATAATCAACAGATAAAGTTTATTCTACATATAAAAATATACTCATTGTTTCATGACAATTGTATCTTAATTCAAATATAAGTCAAGTTTTCAATATAATAACAATAAATAAATAAAAGGACAAAGCCAATCATTTTTGAAATAATTATAATAAATGTCCTTATGTTAAAATAATTATTATAAAATATATTGGTAACAGAAAGAAGTATTATGATTTATTTTTAGAGTGATATAGAATATAATTTTGATTGTTTATGTCATTTTTTGATATTCTATGAAATGCAAATAAAGTTACTTAACTAAGATACTACCTAAATGTTTCCAAACTTTGTTACAGTAATTTGCTTACATAGTAATCCATTAATATATTTTAAAAGCTTATAAAACAAAAAAATTCACTTTGAATTGTATTTCTCAGAACAGTGTTCTTCGAAAATTAAAGTGATCTACTAAAATTGAATTATTATTAAAAATGGCTAATAACTATGAAATATATTGAACAATGTAATGACTACCTATTTAATTTCAGAAATAAAAGAGCAACAAAAAAATCACTGAAAATACGAAAACAAAACTCCTTAAAAAAAAAAATTTCAGTTTAAAATTAGCAAAAATATTGAATCAGGAAAGGACAAAATAAATATATTAAGAAAAAAAAATAATAATAATTTTGTAAGCCCCTATTTTACTCAAAAAGTCATATAAGTAAAATATTTCACTGTTGAGTTTTGCTTCACAATTTAACATTACAAAAAACAAAGTTGTTCAGGAAAACAAACATGTTGCCCAGAACTCAGTTTGAAAATGACAATTAAAATTAAAAAAAAAAAGTTATAACAAATAAATGTATCACACTCTAGAAATAGTTAAGTAAGTAGTTGTGCAGTTATAGTTTAGTAACTAGTTATATAAGAAGTAGGAGATAAAATTATACATTAGAAGCAGGTTATACAGAATACATATATCGCAAAAAAAAAAAAGAAAGAAAGAAAGAGAATGAATTTATTAATGATATTTAGATTCTAAATTAATAAAAGTAAAAGATTGAAATCAATGCTTAGACTATTTTTGAAAACAATTATTGAAAAAAAATGAGATAGTAATATTTAAATAAGTTTATAATTTGTAGAATGATAATTTGTAACAAACATGAATTACTTTGGCAAATATTAGTTAAAAATTAGATTGAAAACTAATGCACAGTGTGCCAACAAAAAAAAAATTACCACTCTGAATAACTTTTGATCTAATGATCTGATCTTCACATTTTAGGAATCATTCTTAATAGTTCGGGGGTGATTTCAAATATGCTAATTATTTAGTGCAGAAGATATTTTAAGTTACAGAATCAGACACAAAAAGGGACTCTCTCTGAATAAACCTACTTTTTTTTCGACGGATTCTTATTCCAGAGGTCCAAGCTTTCGACTTCCTAATGTTAATTTTATCTTTTGCGTATATTGCCATATCTCAAGAACTTATCTAAATCAAAATTCCAATCCATATCTAAATTTTAGTAAATTTTTACTATTTTTTATTTAATAAAAGTCGCAAAACTTTAGAATGTAAGATATATAAGTTTTTACATAATTTTAAAGTATCTACACCAGGAGGTCAAAACTTGGGACTGCTGTCCTCACCAAACTATTTGAACCATATTTTTCGAATTGCGACTACTCCCTATTGTTAAAGGGTAAGAAATTCAAATAAAAAAAAGGTATGTTTATTCAGAGAAATTACGTTCTTGCGTCTGATTTCATACCTTAAAATATCGCTTCAAAATAAAATAATCATACCTTAAAATATCAAAATAATTAGCATATTTGAAGTCACCCCCTTGAAAAATTAAGAATGAGTTCTAAAATGTGAAGATCCGATCATTAGATTAAAAGTTATTCGGGGTGGTCCGTTTTTTTTTCCCATTTTNCTAATGCACAGTGTGCCAATAAATAAAAAAATTACCACTCTTAATGAATTACTTTGGCAAATGTTAGTTAAAAATTAGATTGAAAACTAATGCACAGTGTGCCAATAAAAAAAAATTACCACTCTTAATAACTTTTGATCTAATGATTGGATTTTCACGTTTTAGGAATCATTCTTAATAATTCGGGGGTGATTTCAAATATGCTAATTATTTAGTGCAGAAGATATTTTAAGTTGCGAAATCAGACACAAAAAGGGACTCTCTCTGAATAAACCTACTTTTTTTTCCGATGGATTCTTATTCCAAAGGTCCAAGCCTTGGACCCCCTAACTTTAATTTTATCGTTTGCGTATATCGTCATATCTCAAGAACTTATCTAAATCTAAATTTTAGTAAATTTTTACTATTTTTAATTACTTAATAAAAGTCGCAAAACTTTAGAATTTTAAGATACATAAATTTTTACATAATTTTAAAGTATCTACATTGGGAGGTCAAAACTTAGGACTGCTGTCCTCACCAAACTATTTGAACCATATTTTCCGAATCGCGACTACTCCCTATTGTTAAAGGGTAAGAAATTCAAATAAAAAAAAGGTATGTTTATTCAGAGAAATTACGTTCTTGCGTCTGATTTCATACCTTAAAATATCGCTTCAAAATAAAATAATCATACCTTAAAATATCAAAATAATTAGCATATTTGAAGTCACCCCCTTGAAAAATTAAGAATGAGTTCTAAAATGTGAAGATCCGATCATTAGATTAAAAGTTATTCGGGGTGGTCCGTTTTTTTTTTTCATTTTGCGCCCTGTATGGTGTGCAGAATACAAAAAAGAACACCACAATGATTTGAGGAGCTCACTTTAAATATGTTAATTGATTTGGGCACACAGTATTTTAAGTATGAAATAGGGCATAAAAATGTGTTTTTTTTCTTCCCCTGAATAAATATACCTTTTTTGGAAGAAAAAAAAAAAAAAAACAGATTTAGATTTTTGTTTCTCAAGACATGATTTCAATGGCCATGAGAACAGTAGAAAGTTTAGAATCTGCATTTATTGCATATTTTGCCATATGTTTCAGGAAATATTGAAATGAACAAAAATATTTTTGATCACATTTATTAAACTAATTTACTCAAAGGTACTTTTTGCAAGGCAAAAGGACCAGAACAAACAAAAGTGGCTGCTTCCACCTGTTCATTACTGGTATAAAGCAAAAAGACCAGGACTCTCTCTATCTCTTCCTGGTGACAGGCAAACCAACACCTGCTTATCCCGACTGGCCAGTGGACACCTGAAAAGTCTCGCATTTTCTGCAAATCAAAAGATCTTTCCTCTTTGCCCTAAATGCCAACAAAACCAGGCATCACCTGAGCACATCTTGAACAGTTTAGGGCTGGACTGGAACGACATTCATTCCTCTCCCATTCTGGTTTCGGATTTTCTTAATATCAACGGATTCATTGATCTGGTCTGACCCCGTCAGACCAGATGGGAGTTAGCAACAACAACAACTCAAAGGTACTTCCATTTAAAAATCATTTTTAATTATTTATTATTTTTCATACTTTATGTTACTCAACTTTAATTATAAGTAAAAAATGTTTTGAATCCTAAGGTAAAAAAGAATTCACATTATTTCAAACTATGCGATATTAAATGATAAAATCCGAAATTTGAATGCAATCGATTTAATAATTCTTGAGGAATGAGGACTTCAAAGAAGGACATTTTGACACTTCACCACTTAGAAACTATTCAACAAAATACATTCAAATTTTGGAATTTGTCATTAAAAATTACATATTTTAAATTAATGTAAAAATTTTTGTACTTTTCAACTCAAACATTTTTTTAAATGCAATTGCTTTGAGCAGTTATGTTTAAATTTAGAAATTTATCATTTGAAATTATGTAAATTAAATTAAAAATTTATGTAAAAATTTGTCTACCTTACAATTGAAAAATTAATTTCTAAATGAAATTACTTTTAACAGTTATGTTCTAATTTTGTAAATATTCATTTAAAATTGCAGATTAAAATTATATAAAAATATCTTCGCAGCAACTGAAAAATTATTCTTTAAATGAAATTACTTTTAGATAAACGAGTTTAAAAATTGTGTGCAAAAATAAATTTGTTCTTTTAAATATTTAGGGTGATATGGCAAACTATAAAATAGCCAAATTTAACATAAAGAGTTCAAACTTTCTGCCACCCTCATGACTGATCTATTGGGACCATAATTTGTAAGTCAAAAATCCAAATTGCCTGGGGAAAAAAAACGTACATAAATATATTTTTTTTTTGGACTACCTATTAAAAACCAACTTTTTCTGAATAATCAGAAAAATTAGGTTTTTCTGCCCGATTTTGTACCCTAAAATATCACCCACACAAATCAATTAACACATTTTAGGTCAAACCAATAAAATCTGATCATTTGACCAAAAGTTATTCAGACGCTAAATTTTTTTCTTATTTTGCACACTGTACACAATGATTCGTAACACTTTTAAAAATCAAATCTACATTTCGCTGTTATAACTGCTTCTTTGAGGTAGAATTTCTAAGAGTCTGTAAAGATAGTTTTTTTCTCTTCATGTCACCGATAGATTGAAAACCGATTAATTTATTATTGACTATTTTTCTCTTGAAGAGAGGGCTGGCCGATTTCGAAAACTTTCCAAAAGAATAGAGCGCATACTCGAGAGAAGAGTCCGCAGACAAATTATTTAAGTTCTTCAAAAAAGTTCCTAAAGCAGGCTTGAAAATTTGAGGTGATACCATCGTTCTTTCCTTTAATTTCAAGAAAATTTGGTTTAAAAGCTCTGTTACAGCCTGCTCGTCTGACGCTAAATTGCTAACGGAAGGGCAGGGTGGTGGCGGAGGAGGAGGGGCCGGAACGATCGCAGTTTCGGCTGAACCGTGAGGCAAATGGGAAATGTTATCTTCAATGTTTACTAACTGCTGGCTTAATTGGGAACTCACTGGATGATTTAAGGAAATGGATTGATGATTACTGGCAGCTAACTGGGAAAGTAAACCGTGTTGAGGAATGGCAACATCCTGCGAATGAATAGGAGAGTGATGATCCAAGACTGATGTTTCTATTAAAGATCCATTTTGCAAAGAAAGTGACGAGTTGGGTTCGTTGAGAACACTGGGATGACTTAACTCTGAGCTTTGCACCATTGTTGCACATGATGGATTTTCTTCAAGGAAAAAGTCGTTGTCACCACATGCTTCCAAATCCGGCAATATCTCCGGAGTAGGACACGGCTCCTCCATAGCGGATTCAACCGCTTTTGTAATTATATCACTACTAGATTCACTTTCTATCGCTTGCCCCGTAGCCAAATGCAGGAGGGAGTTTTTCTCTTCGACCGTGTTAGGGGGGATGCAGTCGTAGATAGGAACTGGAAAGTTGCGGAACACCAGAAGCTGGTGTTTGCAAGGAGCACCAGATTTGCCTGTCCTGCACTCGCACATGCCTAGAGTAATGTCCACTTGATATGTCGTATCTTTCGTATCGTTGTGCACTTCGTATTCGTTCTCCGAATTCTGAGTAATCGTGTAAGCTTCTCGAGGCAGCTCGATAAAAAGAAAGCGAGACAATCGAACCGAATCGAAACGACTGTTGGCCAAATCGATGAGTTTTCTTTCGTAATAAGTATCGAGCCTCGACAAAAAATCTACGATTTGCAAGGGGTTGTAAGTCCTAGTTCGGCTTAAAATCGGATCTTTCAGCACTATCATAGCAGCCTCCCAAAAGAATGAGACATCAGTTGCTGCTTTAGGTATAATATAGTTTCTATAAACAAGAGACCATTCGTGCCTGATGCTGTACAGATGGTTTAAATAATCTAAACAACAAGAATAGGATTTCACTAAATTATCATTAATTACGTAAGCATAATTCATCTCCAATTCTTCAACAGTTTGGGAGAACAATATGACTTTGACTTTTGAAAATAAATGCGACCTGTGATCTTTCTTAATTGCATTTTTCCGATCGGAAAGGAAAGTCCACGTGGCTTGAAGGAGATGCGACAGACAAATTAATAACTGGGATTTAGGAAAAATCTCTTTTAGACACTGTCTTTCTGTTTCGTCGTCATGCGTGAAAAATATATCTGGACCATCCTTCTTATTGTAGAAACAGCCATTGGGCAATATTTGCTTCCATATCTCAAGAGCAGTCTTAAAATAAATACTTTCAGTGGACGTGGTAACTAAGCAACCAACTGGAATTGCGCCAATGCAGCTATATGTCACTAACAAAAAAACTCTGCAATTGTTTGATTCTTCCAATTCCCCATAGCTATCAATAAATATTATCTCACCACTATTCTTCACAAGATTATGTATACGATGCATTAATGGCGTGCATAATGCCATAACTGTATTATTTTCTATCAGTTGCATACCAGCAAAACCTCCACTCTCGCAAAACTTGCACAGCAAATCTTCTAACTGAATGGACATTTCTTTCAGATCAATCACTGAATTTTCCAGTCTACGTTTCTTTTTAGATTTTTTATCAGGATTGCTTAAAGAGTCTTGCGATAAAGTCGCAGAGTGCAAACCATCGTTTTGGTGCGAGTTGAAAGAAGAATTTTCAAAACTCGAGAGAGTAGTCAATGGTTTTTTGTCAGGCAGGTTTGTAGTTGGATTATTTTGAACATCATCTTTCTCCCCATTACATAAGTTACCTTGCTTCCTTACTATTTTATAATAAAGCCTAAAAATAATAAGCAAATTTTAAATGAATCAAATACTTTGCAAATGATTCATTGCAAAGAAAATAAACAGAAGCACTAACTAGTAAAAAAAGTTAATAATTATTAGTGCATAGAATATTTTCAATGATATAGAAATAATTAAATAATCTACAATAACTATCTACAAGGACATTTATTTAAATTTTAAAAAATATTTTTTTCTACACAAAAGAAATAGATGAAAAAGTTTGATATAAATACACATTTCTAGATGTAGCTACAGATAAATGAATATAATTTCCCTACTAACCAGCGTTGGCAGGCTTTTGACAAAAAACAGTTATTGACAGTTTAAACCATGGTTTAAACCGTCACGTCAAAAACCTCACTGTCAAAAATGTCAAAAACCTATATTCATACGTGAAATTTAATTAATACATAAAATTTATATATTTTTATACAGGATTTGTAGAGTTAGTCATACAACTTTTATCATGCCCTGCCAGTTCTGATTCAATAGAACGGATGTTTTCCGGTTTTGGACCAATTAATTCGAAACTCCGTAATAGATTAGAAACAGAAAAATGTTCAAAACTAGTTATGTGCTACCGTATGCTGCGAGGAGCAAATGAACTAGACTATTGAATTTTGAATTAAATTTCTACTTCCATCATTTTCATTTTGATTATGTAGTGTGATGCATGTTCTAATTTTTAAAATTATGTATTTAATTAGGATAATTAAAAAATTTCCATAGTAATTTGTTTAAATATTTTATGGATCAGCGACTGTAATGTTCTTCTGTTTAGTTTGACTTTTGTGATTGGTTGTTAGTTTTTCAAAAAAATCAGTAATTCTGAATTTGGAATCTTCAATTTTTTTTAATTCATAGTTAACATAAGACAATACAAATTTAAATGCTTTCTGTTAAATACACAGAGTAGCTAGTGTCGATTTACAGTATATTCAGCCTATTCATTTACTATGCTGAAAATTTTGTTTATCCAAATACTTGTGAATTTCATTTTGCTGAATACTATATATAGTTTTGTTGAATATCTAAATATTCAGCTGTTGAATAATTACTTCTTGCTTTCAAGATATACATTATTTGTATTCTTAATACATGTGGAGAAAAAAAAATTTTTTAAAATGATAAGTGTAATAATTATAAATAAATATAATAAACAATATCAATTATATTTATCATTATTCATAAATATAACTACTTTTAAATTCAAATTAACATACTGGATAATAAAGATATTCGGTATAACATTAAAAAAAAATTTTTATACACTTGTATCTTATATCAAGTTTGTATTTATACAACATAACTTGTAAGTTCCTTATAAATATTAGTTATATGTTCCTTATATGTCAAAAATGCATAGTAATAAACTTTTAATTTTCTTAAGTATCAAAAAGAAAAAAAAAATTTTTTTAAATATAAATATTTAAACAATTTTTGTGCAAAATTTTTCTGCACATGCATTTGAATATAAATTTCTGAGATTTTAAATCTGTTATTTTACCTTAATTTTAATTAAAAAATATTTTAAAACCTGCTGATTACCTATAGTATAATTAAATTTCAATATAATGCATGGCAACTGTTGGTAGTTTTGAAGTTTATATATTTTCTTGGCAAACTTCAGTTTTTGACATTTTTGACGGGTTTTTGACGGTTTAAACCAGTATTATACCCTTGTCATGTCAAAAACCACTTTTTGACGTCAAAAACCCAACCCTACTACTAACACAGATATTCAAGTTAGTCATATGATACCAAATGCAAGCTTTTAGTCCCCAGTCTTTTTCAATTATTAGGTTTACATCCTCTTACACCTACCCATCACTTGATAGGAAACATGGTTAATACCTCCGTGAATGTAAACCTCCCGCAATTCCCAGAAGAAGAAGAAGAAAAAAAAGAAGAAAGTAATGCTTACCTGTAAGGTACGAGGACCCATGGAGTTGATATATTCACAATTAATCATCTATCAAGTGTCTGAATAAATGTTTCATTTATGTGAACACCTCAAAAATTGTATTTCTGTTTTCTTTTTTTTTTTTACCTCAGATGTATTAAATACAGTCTTCAAATTGATAAGAAAATGAAAGAAATTTTCAATGGCGACGAAGCATTAAGAGCATTTAAGACCTCATTTTAGCTTGTAGAGTCTAACTTGTATCCAGATTAAAATATGCCACTGCCTGAATGAACAGTATCATTTTCTCTTATTTCTTTGCAAAGATAAGGTGACAAGATCAAGATTGATTATTTAGTAGTGAAATAACCTAACAATATTCTTAGTTATGGATTAGGCAAAAAATTTACATACTTTAAAAACGGTGAAAAGTTGCATATTTTTTTCTTGCAATTTAAAGCAGAAAAAGATTTTTTTCTCTCCCTCAAATGTAGAAAAGATAGCTTCCTGCTTGAAAAGATAGGAAATAACTTCTCATGGCAAAAATGACTGTCCACGTCCAGGTATGGCGAATTTACATAATGGGTTATTCATAGAAGATTCGAGGGGAATTTAAAATATCTCCTTATCGACAGGCTTCGATTTTGCAAGCTTATCCATAATAGGAGGTTGCACTGTATAGCAGGCTGTATAGGTACTGGCAAAGTTTGAAACCCGGCATTCCATAGAATGCCTAGGCATTGTATATAATGTAGGATATTTTTAGGCAAACTATGAAATATGAGAAGTATTACATACTTTCCATAGGCATTGTATATAATATCTAGGCATTCTATAGAATAAGAAATGTTATTTAGGCAAAGTATGAAATAAAAACCTCCTGATGAGGTTATTATGTAAATGATTTGCATTTCTCAAAAATAGAAATTTTATTCTGAAAAAAATAATAAGAGTGCCATTAAAAAAATTTTTATTCAAAATGCATAAAGAGCAAAGGGCAAAAGTAAAAAGGGCAAAGTGCAACTGATGAATTCTGAGCTTAAGGCGCACATTAAAAGTCAGGAGCCTTGCCAAGTAATATTCGAAAAGAATTACAGATGCATTTTATACTTTGTCGGTTTATCATTAGATATTCTATAGAATGCCTAGGAAATGTGTTGCCGGCTAGTTTTAGGCATTATATACAATGCCTAGGCATTCTATAAAATGCCGGTTTTCAAACTTTGCTGGTAACATATATATTAAAACAACTTTTCAGTAATTTATAATTCCAGTCTAGTTTAAAGAATAGTATTAGTTTCCAAGGTATACCAGGTATATGAAAACTAAAAAGCAACAATAGGAAGGAAAATAAAGTTAATGAATTTCTTCAGAAATTAAAATAAGAGTAACACGTAAATATTTTACATCAATGAGTATAGTAAAACTTTATTTTAAAATTATATAAAGAACTTTTAGAAATAAAGATAAAAATTTATTAATACTACTAAATAAAAAAAATCCTCGATTGTATTCCCAATTGCAAATAGTCAAAATTTTAAAAATCAAAGAAAATAGGAATCATAAATCAAAGAATATAAGAATCAGGTCAAATGTTCATATTTTTACATATGAATATTCACACTGATTCTTAATAAGACAAATGGATTTTAAAATACCATGTAAAACTAAAACAAAATAGATAGCTTTTTAATTGTTCTGAAAATCTTTTAATTTTCTTATATTATATAAAATTTAATTTGATTAAATTTTAGCTACTTATAACTCTTATTGCTTAACAGTTGTATTGGACAATTTTAGTTTATTCTATTTTATCCAGTTTCTACCCGACAAAATGCCAAACCCTAAATTAATTATGAATGAATAAATCAGTACTGACAAATGCATTCTTACCTATAACAGAATTGGGGATCCGGCAACAAAGCTCTATCGTGACATATTTTCTCAAAATTTTCACCATGCTCCAATAATAAATCATACTTATGCATATCTAAAGCTGTGGCAGGATTATGTCCAAACTTAAACAAAGTTAATATCTTTTCTTTCACATCAGGAAGGACACTTCGATGTTTTAGAATTTCTGGTGTAAGAATAGCATGGTTGTGGCAGAAATCCATCTGAATTACAGTTGGGTGGTCAGGTAAATGAGGATCCTTCGATCTATTTTTTAAAAATGATAATTTTTAGACTTTACAAACAATCAAAAGAGCAAAAGCAAATATAACAATATTAACTTACTGTTGTTATGGAGTTTCATTAAACTTGATATTTTTTAGGAAAACTGATTCGAAAATTAATTTAAAAAAAATTTAGCACTAACTTAATACATAATTTTTATACATATATTTTGAATATTCTTCATACACAACTTACATAGATATTTTCCCCTCTCCCTCTCTCTCAATATATATGTTACTGTGAATGACCGAAATCAAAGACACCAAAAATTAAGAAATTCCAAAGACTGAAAATCAAAATATGGAAATAATAAAATTAAAGCACAAACTGAAACAATTTGTACTTTAAAAAGATTAATATGAAGATATAAAATAGAATGCAAAAGTATAATACAATTATTAATTATGATTATTTGAAACTCTAAAAGAAGAATTTACAAAGTCAATTAACAGCACAATCTTCAAACTATAAATATGTCTACAACACTAAGACAATCAGACAGAGACTATGTAAATAAAAATTATTCACAAAAAATATGTTATTAAAAATGAAAGTTAATTTACACTTGCCATACAATAATATTTTTAAAGAATAGAATAAATTCTTAAGCAGCCTCAACTAGAAATTGTTGGAAATTATAATTTTTTATTTTACAAAATTTCTGTTAATTAAAAAAAATTAATTTCAATATTTAAAAATCATTTATTTGCTTTTAGCTTATATATCTGGAGAGTGACAAAATTTCTTTTACTGAGAAACTGTAACTGTAATTGAGTAGGTTTAGGCATTAAAATTAATTATCCTTTTTCTAATATCAACAACTTTTCACTTTTTTTTTTAAAGAGAAAAAATCTAAAATAATCTGCAGTGACTGGGACAATCTGCAACATCAGTTGCCATGCAGAACACTTTTTGCTACCAGGTTTGTTATAATAAGGAAAACATTTAAACTGCAAGCTGTGAAAGAAAAATTAGTAGTTAATACATTTTGTGCATACATGAAACAAGAAAATTTTAATTGTCATTTTGATGTAACAGAGAAACAGTTATGTATAAAAAAAGAGCATTTGTGAAATTAATTAATGTACAGTAGGGAACCAATTATCCGGAACGATCGGGACCATCGCTATTCCGGATAACTGATTTTTCCGGTTTTCTGAATCGATACAAAAAACCGTTTTAACCCAACTAAAAAAAACAAAAATAGTTGGAAATAATCTTAGAAAGAAGAAAAAACGATCAAGTAATACACTAATGATTATTTCCAAAATGATGGTAAGGTAAACATCTTTCAAAAAAGAAAGAAAAATCCTAAAATCTTATGAGGAAAAAAAAAATTTTTTTTTTAAATGGCGGGGAAATTTATTGAATTTCGTTCCGGTTTTTTGGTTTTCCGGTTTTCTGATTTCCGGATAACGGGTTCTGTACTGTACAATAATAGATACAAATAATGTGGAAATAATATTATTTTTTTTAAATTATGTGACAAGAGTGTGGCAATTTTTAAAAATTATGTGTACTGACTGCTGATAACCAAGTAAAAAATTAAAATAGAAAAAAAAGTTTATATATGAAAAAAAGAACACACTTTTCCTTTTCTTCTTTACTTGATTACAATTTTTCAGTAATTACAGAAAAGATTTTAGCTAAGTAACACTATATCCATGTACAACATCTCAGTCATTTTAAAAGTAAAGTTAGTCTAGAAGATGAACATTCATTCAAACTTTGGTCTTTGCTAAGTAAAAATTTAGCCTTAATAAAGCACAATTTTTTAACAATAAATTGAATTAATGCTCTCTTCTGTACTAAATTAGAAAATACAGAGAGCATTTGCTTTGTCTTTCTTGTAAATTTTGAGACTGCCTCCGCATTCTAGAATCTAGTTAAGTCCAGCTAAGGGATAATAGTCAGGGATAAGTGACTGAAGTATTCTTAGAATTGAAGTTACATCAGAAAAAACTAGTAAAAGAAGATATTTTGCTGAAAAATAAAAGTCATGCAGATATTTGACAATTATGCAACTAATTGCAACATTTGGCAACTGTGGACATTAAATAAACATCAAGTGATAAGCATCATAAAATATTTAAAGATAATTATATTCAAGTACCATAAGTAGAGAAAATCATACGATAAATTAATTGAGAACAGTACATTCAACACTAAAGTACAGTGCGTCCACAAAAAAAATAATGGATTACCTTGAATAACTTTTGATCTAATGATAGGATCTACACATTCTAATACTCATTCTTAATAGTTTCAGGTGACTTCAAATATGCAAAATAATTAGTGCAGACAACGTTTTAAGTTACAAAATCAGACACAAAAACATGCTTTCTTTGAATAAACATAAGTTTTTTTAAACAAATTCGGATCTCTGACAACCGAAATATGAGGGGTAGAGTCATAATTTGGGAAATGTGGTCCCCATAGTTTGGTCAGGAGAGCTATCCAAAGTATGGGCACCTTACTTTACGTATTTTACTCTTTTGTATTTCATGATGTAACAGGAACTTTTTAAGCAACTTGAAAGATTTTTGCACACAATTATAAAATTTGTGCACCCACAAACAATTGCGAGCTAAAATAAATTTCAGAAAATACTTAATATTGTTTTACTATTTTATCTAATGAATCACAAAAGTTTGAAAAGTCAGGTTGGCAATTTTTTACATCATTTTAAAGTATGTAAATTAACAAGGCAAAATACAAAATTTTAGCAAATTTGGTCGAATAGTTTCTGAAATATTGAATTTCTAAGAAGTTGTATGTTTAAAATTTTATTTTGCATGAACTATTCAACCAATTTTGCTAAAATTTTGTATTCTGCCATGTAAAATTACATACTTTACAGTGACGTAAAAATGCATACTTTACAAATCAAAACTTTTTCAACTATTATTAAATAAAATAATAAAAAATATAATAAACATTTACAAAAATTTATTTTTGCATGGAATAACTTTTAAACAAAGGAATGTTATAATTGTGTGAAATTTTTTTTTTAATTCGCTATAAAAGTTCTCAAGATATGGCGAAATACGCAAAAAGTAAAACGAACACTATGGGGTCTAAGCTTCGGATCGCTCTCCTGACCATGCTATGGTAACTATATTTCCAAGATTGCAGCTACCTCTATGTTTTGAGAGTCAGAAATTCGAATCCGATGAAAGAAGGCATGTTTATTCAGAGAAAGGACCTTTTTTGTGTCTGATTTCGTAACTTTAAATGTTGTCTACCCTAACTAATTAGCATGTTTGAGATCACCCTCTTAAGAAGGAGTCCTAAAACATGAAGATCTGATCATTAGAACAAAAGTTATCCAAGATGGTGCACAGTATATAGGTATAGATTAAAACAAACCTGCTCTTTCTTTCTGTTACAACTCGTTTTATAGTGATACACATTTTTGCAGGACAATCTGTATTTTTGCATGATTCTCTCTCTCTAGATTTTTCACTTCTTGGACGAGTATTGTGTTGACAACGCAAATCAATCTAACAATAAAAAGCATATTTAATAATAAATTACTTTAACAATCACATTAAAAGTTTATTTCAATAAGTTTCCACTCATAGTAAATTTAAATATAAGTTTGAGATTGCACAAAAATAAAGAATTTAGATTTCTTGGGGAAAATATTTACCTCGCTCTATTTGCTGAAAAATAATTTCTTTGATTAAAAAATAAAACCAAGGCTTTGAATTAAATTTAATTTTTGAAATTTATTTTTAAAGAACTAATCGTTTAGTGAAATTTTTTTTTATTTTTACATTTAACAGTTTTTTTAGCTCGATTGATCATTTAAGAAATAACTTTATGACACAGTAGAACTTCAATCGATTGCTTCTAATAGAACCATTTATTGGAAATGATTAATGTGAGAAAAAGACGAACATAAACGATCATAAAATATAAAATAATGACTTAAATAAATTAAAAAAAGTAAGAAAGAAGTAATGGACTTGACTTAAAAATAAATAAATTTGCAATAAGTATTAAAAGAATTTCTAGCACTCAATTACAACTCAAATAGCAGTGCAATAAACAGGCTTTAGATCCTTAGACGATTTTATGAACTCACTTGCAAATCAGAACACTATTGCAGTCACAAACAGACTCTCTGTATCCCCTCTGTGAGGTACACCCCCATCTATATAGGCTTTACGACGAAACCCTGTAACTTTCAACATGATTCTTCCAGTAGAACTCCATAAATTTTATTCCTACTGCACTGAAACTTGCATTTTTTAGAACTATCATTTTGTTGCCATGATTATTGCCCAGTCGGCACAAAAAAGTTGCCAAACAGAGTCTTTTAGAATGAATACGTTAGGCGTTATTTTCTTGCTTGATTACATTAGAATTATCTGACTTTCTTGCAAATTTTCAAATTAAACAGTTTATTTAGGGTCCACCTCAGATATTTAGTCTCACAACGAAAGAATATTCACAAAATTGCACACACATTTACAAATTAGTAACAATATCGATGAGTGATAAAGAAAAGACATGGATGTCAAAGAAAAATAACATAGAAATACCTTAAAAACATTTTTTGTTCCACAGTGAGGAAAAGTTCTTTCAACTCTCATAGTACATTTAGAGTGCATTTGAAAGTCTTCAAGCCATTTATGAGCATAAGTACTGTTCCTACCGTCTGTTCGAAGACGGGTCTTGAAATTAATATTGTCTCCATCAAAACTACAAACCACATATTCATAATCTCCAGGTAAAAATGACTAAAAGAAAAAAAAATTGTTTCATAAAGTTGGAATTTTAAATTATATTTAAAATAAAAATGAATAAAAATGGATATTTTAAATTATGTTTTACAGCAGTGATCTCACAATTAACTGCTAGAAGATTGTCACATTTCTGCAGATTTTATCACATTTTCAGTTTAAACTTTATTTAAAGCAATTCTACCCTTACATTTAATTTTGTATGTGAGACAAAAACAAGCATAGATAAGGTGCACATAAAAAATTAATATCATGAAAAAAACATGCAGGATTTAATTATTGGTCACCTTATTTTTTTTCTTCTTTTAAGAACAGAAAATTTAACTTTTTATCCATTAATTACTCTTACCTATTGCTTAAGCATATTAAACAATGTATATATGTTAAACATACAATTGTATGTTAACATTGTATGTTAAACATACAATATTAAACATACCTTAAAATAAAACATCAAAAATCAAATTGATTATCAATTTGTTTTCATTGATTACCCATTTAGAATGTCCACAAAGTACAGGATCAATTAATAGAAAGGGGCCAAGTTTGTCACTAATTGCAAAACACAGACAAGTAAATAATTATACCACCAGTTTTTCATCAATATACATTTAAATGATCTCTTAAATACAATCATCACATCAATTTATTTTAACCAGTATTTATTTTATGTAACATATTAGTTGAACTTAAATAAAGGTGACTTCCATCATTTAAATGAGTGAACCAATTATTATTTTCTTCCAAATACAAACGAGATACTCAAAATTTTGAGAGAATCCGATTTCAACAAAGGATATAATAATTTTAAAACATAATTCTCCTTATAATAACTGCAATTTTTGTATCAAATGATTTTGGAAAGTAGTAAATAAAGCTTAATTGATTTTATCCCACTTTTGAAATAAAGTGGGATGAAATAATTTGCAAGTTTTCAAATCTGCGTTTAGAATAATATCAATGAAAACATTGTTCAACAATCACTTGCATAAATCCATGCAGAACAAAGCATTTAGTTCTTTTTTTTTAAAGTTAAAATATCAATTAAGTTATAAAATATGCATCATATATTGGACTGGCATAAAGCAAATAATTAAATTACATAACCAGTTTTCCTTATTTGATTGTGATTGGCATACATATCAGACGATGTATTGATTTAGAAATGTCCTTTGTTAAAATATACAAGAACCGATTCTAAGTAAAAATTTATTAAACTATGGACGAATGCATTTGACTGAAATTACATACTAATTTACCAGTTTCATTTATTAAACAGTTAATCTATTAATAAAAGTTCAAGGTATTTAGAAAGAAATTGTTCAAGAATAAGTATATGCACATTTGATAAACATAAAGTAATTAAAAATATGTCAAAGTTAATCCAACTATACATAGTTTGTTTTATTATGGTTCCATAAGTGCAAGTACACCAGGGAAAAACATTCATTTATAAATGTGCTTGCCTAAAAATATGAAGAACTTCAGTCTAAACCAGCTATGAGACCAATGATTAATCTAGGTACTCAATTTTTCCAGGCATAAACATACAACTTATTTTATTTTAATTTGATAAATGCAAGTTAAAGTATATCGGGTTGATATATTCAATGATAAGTGTATTTTATTGGGACTTGATACTTGGGTGCATCGAAATAAACACTAAAAAAGCAAATCTGCATTGAAAATAATTTCTGTGGAAGTAATTACCCGCAAGACATTGAAATGTTCAGTTTCTGGATTACAAAACTTGCATTTAGTAATAGTTGACATAGCTGTGAAGAATTAAATATACTTTTCATAATGATCTATGATTCTGAAAGCAATTAAATATTTTTAAAAGCCTTGGGGAGAGAGTTTTATTTGCAAGACTATTTTTATAATAACTCATAGTTAATTCCTCCATTGTTTCATAAATTATCATCCGATTCATAATATCATACTAGTAAAGAACGGAAACAATCTGAGAAATCATGCCAAAATTCTTCTATTTTGTAAACAAGCTAAAGAAAAAGTAAAACATAGAATTATTCCATTCATTTATTGGCCCACATTTGCTAAGCAGTTTAATGTGCTACTTTGATTGGTTGATATTCAGTCATGTGATTTAAAATGTGGAGTTCTGAAAGAGATTTAGTGACGGAATAGTTACATTTGAATAAATGCTTGTAATCTTTATGCACTTAACTTGTATTTATTTGCTAATTAGAATTTTCTTCCTAAAATATGTAGCTAAACGGTTTAAATTTTTTTTTATAATTGCTAGGTATTCTTTTTGAAAAGGCTCGTAAATAAATGTATTGATAAAAATTTACAGAAATAAATCTGAGCTAAAACTGCAACTGCATGTGTTTGCACAGCATGAAACAAAATAAAAATAAACCAGTGGGATAAAAAAGAAATTCGTCTTGTGGTTTTGTGCCAGATAATATAATGATGTAATAACTTTGTTTATCAAATGTATTTGACATTGACTTAATATTCATAATATGTTTTTCTTAACTTGTTACCTTAATCGATCGAATGTTGCCACTTTCTTTATTATTCATGTAGCTGAATTAAGATATTGATCTAATCATAGCAATGTACTACTAATACTAATGATGAAAAACTACGATTTTGTTCGTAGTATTTTTGTCATAAAATATTCTTTTTCCTATATTACTTTACGAGCATTTAGTTTTAGACTAAGCCATGACCATTGTCAGAGGAATATTACTTCTCAATACTATGTTTTATATTAATGGTATCTAATGTAGCTCTCGAAATTTTCTTTTAAAATATCAGTATATGGTTATAAATAATTTTATTATTGTAAATGAAATCTTTATGCATTTAAATGCTGACAATATTTATAATTAATTAAAACGTGCTTTGTTTTCTGGGGGAAGAAAACAAAAACAATAAAATCATTTACTGATGTGTTAAAGTTGTTGGGGATATTTCCGTATCGTGATCTGTCACGCCGACTACAATCGCCAAAGTGCCAAATTGTTTTTAAACAGGAAAATTGAAAAAAAGAAGAAAAAAAACATGGAGAAATTTGCTGGGGGGAGGGGGGTATGAGTTATACATTAGAGTTGGTCCCTTTCTGTGATGTTTTTTTTTAGCTTTTGGCATTCCACTGCTCCGTAGTTGCCAAGACACGGTGATTATTCTGCCACAAATCACGATACGGAAATATCCTCTTGCAGTTGATACAAGGAGTATTTAAATAAAGTCACTTTATAATTTATTAAATGACTAATTTTGACAACTAAAGAATAATATTGTTTGCCATAACACTATAAATGTATAATAACAACTATAAATGCATGTAGACCTAAAATATTTTCTTTGAACACAATTTCATACACATGTTTACTGTTTGCAAACTCTATAGTTTTCAGAGTTTATTTTTTTCAGACAGCACACTTCTTTTTACAATATATATCTGCTACACACTGTGAATGTCAGACTTCAGGGAATTATGTTAAATGTTTATGAAAGTTTACGTGTTATTAATCGAAGATTTTCATATTTCATCATAATTGTGTACATGTCATATCGTTGAGGATATTTGCGTATCGTGATCTGTCATGCCGACTACAATCGTCAAGGTGCCAAATCGATTTTAAACTTACAAATTTAATTTTTAAAAAAACGTGTACATGTGTACCTAGTTGTGGCTACGAGTTATACCTTTCAAGTTGGAACCTTTCTGTGATGTTTATTTTTAGTTTCTCGCGGGTCGTTTCCAAGACTTGCCGATTATTATTCTGCAGATCACAATATGGAAATCTCCGCTAATCTTTATTGTAAATTTTCATTTAAGTTCTCTTTATTAGCTTTTTTTTAAAAAATAGTTTTCAAGGCATACATTAATGGCTTAGTGAAAATGCGTACGGTATAGTTAATTTATTCATTTCAAAATATTTGTAAAGGTGTCATTTTTTGAAAAATTCTTATACAAATTTGGTTTCTGCATTTTTTTTAATAAGCGTTTATTTGTATAGTAGGTTCAACAATTTCATTTATTAATTTTGTGTTTTGTACAGATGTACTTTTAAACTTTATGTACGAATGGATGGTGATTTAAAAAATCTCTTTATGGATGGCCGATCTATATTATAAAGCTGAAAGACTTGAGATTTTCGGTGATCAAATTAGGTAATTATAATTCTGTTTCTTAGTTCAAAGGCTTTTTTTTAAAGCATGTTTCTCCTGTGCCATCTTTATCTATTTTATTTATAATTTTTATTCCTTTTGTTTTCAATGATATTTGCTAACATATTATGATGTTTCACTAATATTTTTAAATCTTTTTTTTTCTTTTTGTGATGTAATGCAGTTTCAAATTTAAATTTTTCAAATCTCTTTAGTTTTATTTGTTAAAATTTTTTTAATAGCTTATAGCCTGGTAGCAGACCCAGATAAAATGAGAAACTGTCCATAAACAAATTATCTCCTTTAAAATGCTTTCTACATGCATAGATTAACTCTTATGGCTACTTTCAACCTTTTTGTTGCTATCTCATTTCAGTGAAATTTGTTTGAAAATCACAGACTTTTTTTTAAAAATATTTAATTTTAACTCTATATTGATTCATACCACAGGAATGAGTCTGGTAAAAAAAAAGAAGCTGAAAATAGAAATTCAAAAATTTTATCTGCAAAAACGCTTTTTAAAAAATTAAAAAAAAATCCTGAAATTTGGACAAAAAAAAAATGCATGAAAGGAAGCATTTATCCACAGAATGTTATCAACATTTTCATAAAAATATTGGTGCAATATTTTATTTATTTATTTAAATTGTGTGAATATGAATCTCAATGTGTGATTTTTAAATCACACGAATCTTGGCATTTAATTTTAAAAAATTGCGTGAATATGAATTTTGATGTTTAATTTTAAAATCGTATAAATGATAATTCTGATGCATAATTTTTAAGTCACTTGAACACAAATCGTAATAGTGACTTTTTAATTGTGTAAATATGAAACAACATTCTTCATCTTAAATTACATTTGCATTAGTAAGATAAGGCATAAGAATGAATCTTTTCTATTATCCCTGGGAATTCAAAAAAGACAAAAAATATTTGAAGAGGCGGATTTTTTTCTCTTTTAGTAATAGTAAAAAGTTTTCCACGATAATGACGAAATTCCCAAAAACTGTGTTCACATTCCTGTGGCAGAATTTTTTGGGCTTTCTGCGACTTCCCTAGCACTAATAATTTGCTTTAAAATACTTTTAATTACAACAATTACTAATTTTAAGTAACAGAAACGTTGTGTTTACGGAATTGTTGCTAAAACCTTAATGTTAATTTAACTGAAATTTTATACCATAATATTTAAAAAAAAGTGAATTAATACCTATAAAGTTTGTTATAAAATAAACAAAATATTAAAACATAAATGTTTAAAAAAAATTTATCAAGAGTTATTGAAAAGTTAAGCTTATTCCTTATCTGCAGAGAAGTTTCAAGTTATTCCTACTGTGAATGAAGATTGACTTTTTTTATATTTCACACAACAAAACATTTAAAAAAAAATTTACACTTACATTATTGTTTAGTTACTGTTATCTCCTGACAATTTTATGAAATTTCTTTCCTCATCCGAATTAATTGGACCATTTATCAAATTGTTACAGATATGCTCCTGATGAATCTGGGCGAGTTGGTATGTTCATTCATAATTTTGGTTTAAAACCAGAATGCAATTATTTTGAGGTACTCATTGAAGATATTGGTACTACTGGTGGAATTGCTATAGGCCTGGTATCTTCTAAGCATCCTTTAGATCAATATCCAGGTTATGTACCTGATTCTATAGGATATATAAGTGAGGGAAGGTAATTTATTTTAATATTATTTTCTTAGTACCCTATTCAAAAAAATTTTTGTTACTTCTTTTCATGTAATGATTATAGACATTTAAAAAAAAAAGCCTAATTTGACTGTAGCAAACATTAAAAAAAAAATTCAATATTTTCTAAAATTTTACCTCTCTATATTTTTCTTGAATTTAACAATTTAAAATTTTAACAACTCAGTATCTAACATGAAATTGATCTTATATCATATCAGTGATTGACGTGTATTAAGCCATATTCATAGTAGGGATGCATCGAATATTCGGCCCTTTTGGTTAGCGGAATAATGGGCTAAATATTCAAATGAATGTTTGGCTGAATATTCGGCAAAGTATTATTTGGAAAAGTATTTTTTGATAATTTTTTGTGGGGGGGGGGAATTTGAATAGATTTAACAAAGAATAATCTAAAATCATATTTTTTACTAGTATATATTATTAGAAATTTGTTTTTACACATATTTGTTAAGTTCTAAAACTTGTTCATTTGTGTTTTAAAAGAAAAATAGAAAAGCGAAATTTGAAGAATTGAAACTAAATTACTTTATATACTGAACCATGGGTTTTGTAATGGTGAATTTTTTTTAAAAATTAGATTCAGGCAAGTCAATTTTGGCCTTTTTTGTTCGTCGTTTATTTTCTCGAAATTGACAACTTTTTTTAATTACTTATTTATTTGTTTCATTTTTAATTTTTTTTCTGTATTAACTATAACGCAGAATTTTAATGGAGCATTTCTATTAAACACTATTCTTTCACTGTCACTTTTTTCCTGTATGGTAAGACAACATAGAAAACCGTGACAACATAGATAACCGACATCATAGAAAACTTTGATTCTCAATGTTTCAGAATTTTCTGTTTCTAGTTAACTTTTTTCTTAACTTTTCTTTTTTATCAGCATTTTTTAGAGAATATATCTAATAAATGTTATGTTAATGTTATGTATTTATAACATTTATCTAATAAATGTTATATAAAACTGTGATTCTCAATGTTAAAGTTGTATTTCAGAATTTTCTGTTTCTAGTTAACTTTTTTCTTAACTTTTCTTTTTTATCAGCATTTTTTAGAGAATATATCTAATAAACGTTATTCTTTTATAGTTGATTTTTCTAAAAATATGGCATCATAAAAAAGTTAAGTTTAGAGTTTTAGCATTAAATCTTTCGTTTAAAAATTAAAAATGATTTTGTTTTGGTTTCTGTCTAGCTTTTTCTTTTTCAGAAAGCTTTTGTTTTTTTAGACATTTTTATTGTGACACAGCCATTAAAAGGGTTTCTATTAGATATTAAACTTCCCTTTTTCTTGAAAATATTGGACAACTGAGATGTTCAGCCTTTAAAATTTTCTTTCAAAAATTAAGATCAATTTTTATGTTTTCTTTTGTATATAATCTCTTTATGGGTGTTTTTATATTAGAGCTGCAGTTTTAAAAGCGTTTCTGATAGACATGACCTCTTTTAATGTTTAATGGATAATGTCTTTCTGGAAAATATTATTTTTAGCATTAAAAATTTGTTTTAAGGTCTAAGACGATATTTTTTCTATTTATCTTTTTTCAGCTCTACAACTTTAGTTTTTTGATAACTGTTAGTCAGTTTTTATTTATCTTAAATATTTCTAATTATCGTAATATCTAATTTTCTTTATTATCTTAAACATTTTTATTTTTAAAAAAAAAATTCTTTACCCCATGCCAATAATGCAGCTAATTTTTGATTATTTTTAAATAATGATTAAACTTATTTAGATATAAAAAATAATATTTATTAATGTTTTTTTTTTTAAAAGTGTTTTCTGTCGATATTTTTGCCAAATATATTCATACAAATTTAGCCAAGGGAATATTCAGCCAAATCACTTCGTTTCACCCCTCATTCTCAGTGCAAATAACCTTTATTGCTAGACAATAAATACTTTGTTTTTTTGACAAACAATTAAACCTATTTATCTTGTTGTAAATATATGATAAGATATTTACAAAACATAATTATGACGAAAATTAGCCGCATTTGTTTTAATGCATATTTTTATTGTGTATGTATATTGATTGTAAAATGCAGACCCACAAATGCTTACACCTACATCCTGATTAAAAATATGAATTGCCATGATGATGGAACTCATAGTATAAAGGTCAACTGTTTTGCTTTTATTTCTTTAGGCTTTACAAAGACACACCTAAAGTGATTGGAATCGGTCCGAAATTTTATTGCCAAGATCGCTTAGGATGTGGTCTGAAGTTTAAATCTTCACCTGAAGATACTCAAGAGAATGAAGCAGCTGTTTTCTTCACAAAAAACGGAAAAGAAGTAAGATTATTTCTAATAGTGCAGTAGATATATTTTTGGTGATTATTGTTGAAGATCCTTGAACATTTCTTACGTTATTTGTTAAATTTCCTGTTTTAAACATGCATTTTTAGAATTATCGGCTAAAGATTCTTTTTTTTTGTGCGTTGAATGTTTGTAATTATTATTTTTTTTTTGTTGAATTAATATTTATTTTGGATTGATCTATATTGAAGCACCACACTGTAAGTTATTCATTGTTATCTTACTTATTTCAGAGCTCATTCTAGGCAGGGTAAACAGGGCGCAGCACCCTGCTGCCCTTTTAGTCAAAAGAGTCCACCCTGTTGCCCCTGAAGTAAATTAGTGTCCTGATGTAATAAGACTCCATACCCTTTTTGCCCTTTCTTTACTCAACACTTCATTTTTTCCCCCAAACTCTACAGTGGATTTCCCAAACTTTTATTTTTAACTCTTTTTATCTAATTTGTCATTGCTGTCAATACATAGATTTATATGAGAAAGGAAAAATAGCCAGCACACCCCGTTGTTGCACTTGTCTTTGAAAGTTTGCAGTTACTTCCACTATCATTAAATCCCTG